CCCCCCGCAGGGCTGCCTGTGTACCCCTCTCTAATAGTTCCCACCCCCAACCATTATATGTGCCCCCTGTTAATGGTTCCCCACTCTCTCCAAGGCTGTTCATGTGCCCAGTCCACCCCCTTTGTATGGTTGCCTGTGGGCCTCTTTAATGGTTCTCCCCTCTCAGTGGCTTTATTTGTGCACTGCTCTAATAGCTCCTTTCCTTGATCTCGTGCACTCTCTTTAATGGTGTCAGGTATCCAGGTTGTAGCTATACTGGTCTAGAGGGAAAAGGAATCAGAACTCGTGGCAGAGGTGATATCTTTTATTAGACCCACTAGATTTTAGCAAATTTGAAATTTAAAGAATTTTTTTGTGAAAACCTAGTGGGTCTAATAAAAGATATCACCTCTACCATGAGTTTTGATTCCTCTCTCTAATGGTTCACCTGTGTGTCCCCTTCTAATGGTTCCTCCCTCCATGCATTTGTGCATGCCACTATCTAAGGATTCCCCCTCTCTGTGCCCCTCCCTTTCATCCCTGAAAACACCACCCCTGTTTCCTTCCCGTAGCTCCTCTACTTTTTCTGGTCCCCCACCTTGGTCCCCTGCTCTACTAGTTCTCCCTTCCCCCATTTCTAAGCTCCCATGGGTCCCTCTGAGCTCGCTTCTAATACTTCCCCTATCCCTGTGACCCTGGCTCTCTGATTCACCCTCTAGTTTTCCTCCCCACCCCCCAATTTTTCCCCCAGTTCATTGATGAGCGGCTGGAGAAGCTGAATGCTGGCGAGGGCTTCTCAGACATGTTCGAGCAGGAGATCACCAGCAGCGGGATGGCAGCGGGTAAGGGGGTCACTTCCATTCCCCTGCCTCCCCTGCTTTGGGGCAAGCCACGGCCCTCCCTGGGGATCATGGTCCCTGTACCAGGCTCTCCCATAATGCCCTGAGGCTGACATGGATGGGAGCATCCCCTATGGGGGTACAGTTAGGAATTGATGCCCCTTCCTGTCCCCCTCCCTGCCCTAGGTACAATGAAGTCCTATCAGCTCTGGGTAGAGAATTTTAAGGTAAGAGCAGGGCCTGGTGCCCAGATGCCTGGGTCCTCTCCAGCTCTGGGAGGGGAGTGGGGGCTGGTGGGTTGGAGCAGAGGGAGCTAAGAGCCCGGACACCTGGGTTCATCCCACTCAGGAAGGGGAGTGAGGTTAGTAGGTTAGAGCTGCCAGAGGGTGCTGGGACCCTTTGGGCAGGGGGGAATTGGGAGTGTCCCATGCGTCTCCTTGGCCTCATCTCCCCAGAAGGGCGGCGGGGCCCTGATCCAGACCGTCAGGACCAAGGCGAACCCTGCTATGAGGAACATGTACCGATATGTAAGGACCCCCCACCATGTCCTGGGCGTTGGGGGCGGAGCTACATGAGAGGGGGAAAAGTTATGGTGGAGGGGAGGGGACTATAGCAGGCAGGTCTTGGGGCTGGGAGTGGGGCTGAATCAGGGTGGGGGTTAGGGAGGCTATAGCAGGGGGACTGTAGGGGGTAGGTCTTGCTCAGGGCTGGGAACCAGGGGGTGAGGCTTCCTCAGTGCTAGAGGGACGTGGGGCTATAGCAGGGGGCAGGTCCATAAGACTGCAGGGGGCAGGTCCATAAGACTGTATCTGGGTACAGGCAAGGCATCTTCAGTGCTGGGGTGGCAGGAGATGGGGCTCTAGCAAGGGGTCACTAGTGGGGGGCAGAGGGGACAGTGTTTTCTCAGCACTGGGGGATCCCAGTCTCACCCTCCCACTCCCATCACCCCCCTCCCCAGGCCAAGGGCCAGGCCCGGCTGGGGCTAAAAGAAATGAGGAGCCGCTTACTGTACAAGGTAAGGTTCCTTCTATACCCCCTCATTGCCCCCCCACCCCCTCAATACCCCCTCCCCTCCTCCCTACTGCCATGAGGTCCCCCCAGGTGGCAGGGGCACATTTGGGGAGGTGGGTCCCTGGCTTCCAGCAAACTTCCAGCACCCCCCATCACCAAAGTGAAGGGGTGAAGGAGGGTGGTCCTGGGTTCAACTTCCCCCTGCCCCCCAGACTGGGAGCCCTGAGCAACGCCTGCAGCGGGGGGCATCCCTGCACTTAGAGCCAGCCCCCACCCCAGCCTCAAGCAGCCGGTCAGAGCGGCTGCAGCGACGCCTACCCATCACCCACCACTTCGGGAAGGTGAGATGTGGCTGGGAACATAGGTAGGGGATGGGGCAGCTGGGCTACAGCTGGAAGGGAGGGCGGGGTGTGGCTGGCCCCCATCTGGAGCAGTTATTGGGTCCTTGGCTGGGCTGCCACATCTTGACAGGATCATGTAGCAGGGTGGGAAGTAGGGAGATGTGCCACAGCTGGAGAGGACCTGGGGCCTTCTGTGATAGTTGGGAAACATCTGGAAGGGGAGGTAGGGCACTTCTGAGTGCCCCCCAAGCCCATGGGGAACATCTGGATGGGGTGCTGGGGGGCAGGTGCCAGGCAGATGTGCCACAGCTGGAGAGGACCATGGAGGACAGTGGGGCAGGCC